ATTAGCTAGAAATATATTATTTCCCCCCATAAAATTGATTTATTTAACAGGTTTTTTATTTTTTATTTTACAGGGTTCTTATACAGAACACTTTTTTTTAGCAAGTATACACTTTATAACGCATCGCATTGATAATATATGAGGATCAAAACAAAAAGAACAGAGTTCCCTGCCCATAAATTAAAGTCTTCATTTCTAGCTCTTTTTTTCTACAAAATGCTTGGTAATGTATTGTACAATCAAAAATGCTAAATATTGACTGACTTTATGCAATAAAGTGCTGGACGTCTCAACCAAGACTATGAAAAACTTGCTCACATTCCTACCTGTCAGTTGGAGGTACTTTGTATTTGATCGTTTCCAACTTCCTTTTTGTTTTCTAACCAATTATATGAAAAACTTACATCTAACCGCTGCTGGGTCGCCATAAATCCCAGTAGATTTCCCTTAGGATTTCCTAATTACATTAATTATGCAATAAAAGGTGATATGTTATGAGAGGCAGTGGCCCATAACTGGTAGTTTAGTACTGATGAACTGTTGTCTTGACCCAATATGGTTGAGGGTCAACATGTACTGAGATCATGCTGGAGCTGAGTTACGTAGGGTAAGCTACCGGAGTGCAGGGAATATAAAGAGGACACTGAAAAATAAGAAAAAAAAACTAAGAAAGGTACATGTCTCAGATTAGTTTAGCTGGAAAGACTGCCACCTTTTAGATAAAAAGCAGCCCTTAGTTGTGCCCTAGGGGGACATTTAAAGTTAAAACAGATTGAAGCTGATTGGAACCATATGGAGACCACAGAATGCTGGTAACTATATTTTTAACCCAACAATGTTCGTATGCTCTGAATTATCTCGGTTGGATACAGAACACCATCATTAGAGAATCTGCAAATCTACTATACGGCCTGCAATAGGAAACAGCCATGATGGTCAGATTTGTGCTAAGCATTATGAGAATCATCAGGATATTTGATGAATGAGAAACATATTAAGAAAAATACAGGATGCATGGAATTAACTTTGAGTTTTAGTTTACAATTTAAACAAAAAAATAGTAAGATGTAAGGAATATTATTGTATATTCTGACATGTAAATCCAAACAAATAATGGTATTAGCATTGCCTACTTCTCTTTCATCATTGCTAGTTTTTGTTTAAAGGATAGTATAAAATAAAAAATTAAAAGGTCAGATACATTAAATATACTCTGAAAATATTTACTTAATGCAATTATCTTAATATAGTGTGTCAAAATTGTTTATTTTTGCCTTGTGTTTATTTTCAAATATGTTGAAGGTGCCGTATTCAAGTTACAGGAACGTGGGTATCCAAGTTAAGCTGTTATACATTACATTTATTATTTGTTTGTGTGTTCTTGTGCATGTTTGTGTGTGTGTGTGTGTGTATGTGTGTGTGTGTCATGTGTAGTTTATATTAGAATAGCAAAGGTGTGGCTACTCTGGAGATTGTGAAATAAAATTCTTTGTGGAATTCTTGTGCAAAAAAGATGGAGTGTGCTAATACTCATTGGGATTTTCTCTTCTAAGTTCACCACTTCCATAAAATACTCTTAAATGTGGTTTTTTTTTTGTTTTTTTTGTTTCTTATTGATATATTGAATATATGGGTGAGTAGGATAAAGAATACATCAGACTCATTTTGAAATAGTAAAACTTTTGAGAGCACCGATGTGCATGCTGAAATGATGTGTTGGGTTAAAAGCAAAGATTTTACTTGCCAGATTATTGTGTATACCAAACATTAACAAATAAATGAACATTACAAAAGTCCAACAATAAATACAATGCATAGGTTAGCTCTTTCTAGTTCTTTACATGCGTGTGTGAATGTGCTTTCTAACATCATATGAAATATAGAAGAATTGTTGTAATAGTGCATCACGGTAAGAACAGAGGTAATGTGATGGAACTGAAATATAAAAAACTCACATACTCTGGAGCTTTTCTCGTGGCTCTAGTATCACTGTGTTATGACCCATATGAGTATTACTCCAAACATCAAGTGATGATAGAGAAAAAGTCCACAAAACAGCAATCATGGACTTGTTAAAAAAAATAAAAATAATAATAAATAAAATAATAATAATAATAATAAAAAAAAACAATATATATATATATATATATATATATATCCAGAAAAGTGCAGTCAGGAGGTTTTGTAGTGAAGAAAATTGTCTTTCTATTGTGTAAAATAACACACATACAGATTGTCAATGTTTCAGTCACATCATGGACTTTTCTCGAGACCTAAGAGAGGTCCTAAAAAAAGTCCATGATAAGACTTAAACATTGACAATCTGTACCTGTGTTGTTTTTACATACAAAAAAAATTCTTCACTACAAAGACCTGCTGACTGCACTTTCCTGGAAATACATAGTAAGACACAGAGCTACACCGAGGTAAGTACAAGATGGATGAGTGTGACCTGGGCCCACACTATGTATAAATGAAATAATTTATTAAGTAACCTACTATCAGAGATATGGTAAAGAAAGAAAAGGCTATAAAAGATAGAAATAAAATAAAATACAAATACATAAATAAAAAAGAATGTGTTTTAAAACCTTTTTGTCTGCTTATTGGGCGTTTTCAATTGTCCAATCTCTCATAGTTCACTCTCCATGTACAGTTAATGTTCTGGAATGCAGTAAAATATTAATAAATGACAAAAGATAAAATTTAGAAAACCCCTTTAAATAAATAAAAGATGCAAATAAAAATAGTTGGCATAAGCCAGCCAGTTGAGTTGTATTTAGGCAGTAATTCTCAACTGCTGGGTAGGCACCCACATAATAATTGGATCCTAGGCAACTGCCTTCAATAAATTGCTTACTTGAACATCACTTCTTACCTCTTTGCAATGGAGAATTCCCTGATTATGGGACATGTCTAATAAAGGTGTTTTGAATATGTAACTGTATTAAATATTATATTACTATTAAAGAATGGGTCAGTTAGCTAATTTTCAAAATGATGAATGCTTTGCCAAGCAAATGACATGTATATTTTTGAGTCCCTTTGAAAAACTGATAAGAAGTTGGAATTAAACATGTGGATTACTTGACAACAAATCAATTAGTCTGCATAAAATCTCTTTTGATTCATTTTTATAATGAACGATCGGTTTAAAAATGAATTGAAAGGGGTAATTTGCCAGACGACTAATTTAGTTGTCAAACTAATGAACTTGTTTAACCCCTTAAGGACCAAACTTCTGGAATAAAAGGGAATCATGACATGTCACACATGTCATGTGTCCTTAAGGAGTTAAGGGAGAGTGCATAGCAAGAACCAATGTATAGGAGAAAAATAAGGACCCCAAAAGTTCTAATTATGTGAGACAGTAGATCATATGAAAATTAAAAATAGATCATATGAAAATTACATTTATACCAGATACGAGGCTTCCACCAGTTCAGTCTAACCTGTGAGGTTTGTGGACATTGCCTAGGTTTTGAGCTCTGTTTTCTGATTGGTTAAAAAAAACAGAGCTGTCAAGCTGTCTCTCTCACTCTATAGAACACGCTACAGGTTTTCATTATAATACTATAATATTATAATAAAAAGGGTAAATACATTTGATGATATATTTACTGTATCGCTGAGCATTTTCATATTAAAACATTTTTTCTTATTGTGGTAATAATGACCCCAAGTGTTTTATATATATGTTTAAGGTCATTTATTATTTTGACAAATGAAAAATATTTACCGGATTTTGACCTTTTTGGCAAACGCAGTGTTTTCAAAAATTGCAAATTCTTCATTTTCACTGTGATATAATAAACGCATTTCCTTGCTTGGCTTTGCTTCTGGAAACATTAATAAATAAATAAAAGGGAAGGACACTGAGGTGGGTGTCGAGTCTGTGAGACAAAGGCCACTTTCCTCATCGTCCTTCAAGACAGCCAGCAATACAGGAAAAGGTAGAGGAAAAACCTTACGCGTCACATCTGTAAAATCTCTTATGTTCATCCTGTGTAAATTCTTTATGAATGACCAACTTGGAATGCGGAAGTCATCTATCAAGAGCTTCTTCTGAAGGAAGCAACACACCAGACAGCTGGACGAAGTGTTTACAGCCTCAACTTTGAGACAAGAAACTGGAAAACTATTTTTTGGTCCCTATTGGGCACCTGCACTTGTTTTAAATAGATCATGCATCTGCAAGTCAATACCAAAATGTTAGGGGAAACGCGTTTCCTTCAAGCAATGTGATGGGAACATTTTGAATATTAGCTACTGGAATGTAGCTAATTTTTTTTTTTATTCTTTATTTTAGGCATGCAGTGTAAAGTACAAACTTTCATAATGACTTATAACAAGAGTTACAATGGTAATGACAATGCGTTAGCGGATAAGTTCAAGATGGGCTGCACAAAACATGCTTATTAACAGTGAGATAATACATATGCTGAGAGGTATTAAGAACATGCAGATTGACAAAAACTTTCACTGGTATTTGTATATTAAGCATGCTTCGGTTGGTCTTGCCAGTGGTGTTCGATCAAGAGAGGCAAAAATATATATTAAATACGCACTGGTTGATAGGGTAAAGTGAAATAAAAGGCATGAAAAACAAAGCGTGTAACTATAAGCTTAGAGTATAGCATAACCACTGGTTAGCAATCATGTACACTCTGGCGGGTTTGCAGCAGGCCGTTGTCGTTAGCAAGCAATCATTGGGGAGACTTAATAGGCTGCATTAAGCTGGTAGACGGCCATGGGGGCCCAGGAGACAGAGCATATTTTATCTGGGCAGCAACCTGCATAGTAATAACTGTTAAAAATTAAAATAGAGGCAAACATCAGCCCGGTAGCCGGATGTGGGGCAAAGTATGTCCCCCAGTCATTTACGACCTGACTCTCTAGTCTGCGGGTCTGGAGTGCGTCCATATGAATGGTAAGGGTGGTCGGTAGTTGTGGATGGTCCGGCAACAGGTAGGGTGCGCCAATCTCGGAGGCTCAGAGATTTAGCCGATGCCTCTACAGGGCCACTTCATGCAGTCTCTGTGAACTGAGCCTCTGTGGATTGAGTCCCATATAGCGGTGCTCCACCGGCCCAGGGCTCCAGCATAGTCCAGTGCACTCTGGTCCACTGCCCGGGTGTAGTCTCCACATCCGCCGCCAGTGACCTGCCGTGCATGACGAGTCCTTGTTCTCCCGGGATGCAGGCCGTGCCTTGGGACTTGTCTCTTGTCAAATCTGTCCGTAATGCATTCCAGCCAGTTTGGGCTCCCAAGGTCTGCTTGGTTTCCTGGGGCAGACGGCATGTCGGCCATCTTTGTTCCGCCACGCGGTCTCAGGGTTATCAGAGACCACGGTTGCGGCCGCTTGATTAGCATGATTAGCGTTCCCAGTGGGGACTGGGATCTCCCCCGCCAGTCCAAAGGGAGGGTAATGGGTCTTCAGGTGGTTCACTACAGGGTGTGCAGTCCCCGGCGGGAGATCGGCCGCCTCTCCCCACCTGAAGGTAAAACTTGCAGGCTTGGTGATCTTTGTCAAGAGTATCATCTGTGTTCGTTTCCGTGCTGATTATATCTCTTTTCATTCAGTTTTAGCCCATTTAGGCCTTGTGCTGGTCGGAGCTGATATAAAGCACGTCTGGCCAGCTTGAGGATCAGGCCCCACCCCCTGAATGTAGCTAAATTTTTACGTTTTCATTTATCAGAATGCATCTAATTCAATCCATCAGTAAAATCACCATCCAATGAAACAGGTGTTTACAGCAATAATATGTAGGGATCTACGAATTCTCTTTGCAATTTTCCAGATGAAAAAGTCAGAGGGTTACTCCAAGCACGATAACCACCATAGAGTAGCAGAAATGGATGTCGGTCCTGTCACCATTCATCGGTTGAAAGCGTCAGCTGACCACTCCCAATCAATCACTGAGATTTTGTGCATGTTTTTTGCTGTTGATCCAAAAGAAGGCAAAAAAATCTCAGTTTGAAGCACTTCCAATTTTGTAACAAACTAGGACATCAAATTCCCTCTTGACCCCAGAATGGCAGTCAGACTTATCAAGAAGCTATTGTTTTTGCAAGTATGCATCTAGTTGCTGTTTAAACATCTATACGGACTCTGATAAAACCAGTTCTTCAGGCAGAGAATTCCACATCCGTATTGTTTTTATGGTAAAAAAAGCGTTCTTCTTTCTTCCAGTCTAAACGCATTACCTTGTGTCCTATGTTAAGTCCGGTTTGTGAATAGATTTCCACACAATGGTTTGTATTGGCCCCGGGTATATTTGTATAATGTTACCATATCCCCTCATATACCTGTTCAAATGTGTGAATGTGCGGTGGTTATACAAGACAAAGTGTATGCAACAGGTGTGCACATTGTTTGGTAAGGAAATAGGATGTGCATGCGCATGGAATGTTTGTTAAGCAAAGCATGTTTTTAGCCTAGGGCTCTTTCAGAATGGCATATTATGCCAGTTGTTTTGTGTAGTGATACAAAGCAATTAATACCAACATAAAAAGTGTGTTTAAGCTATTTTGAAATGGGCCCAAATTTTATACAAGGCATGCGATTGGTGACCAATTCTTCAAAGGTAATATATGATATGCTAAACAATAGATTCTTCTCCAAGTGGTGTCCATCCCACCATTGAAGACAGTGCTGCTATGGTAAACCGATAATTATAAGCATCTGTTTTGTGATGGTGAATATGATATCTGTTCCTGCCCCAGGTAGACCCACTAAATTGACATAGGGGCACAATTTTGGGTCCTGACTCATGGGTAAAGAACCACTAAACTAAAACAAGGATACACATCTCAAAATAGGCTTGAGAGAGTGGATGAGGCAGAAAATAAGTGCTCAAAAGATGTTGTTGCTGTTTCATGTTGAATCATAAATTACTGCATTTTTTACACTTCTTCACATTAAAAGGGAGGTTGGAATGTTGTACCAGCATTTATAGACAACGCTTGGACTGGATTGGTTGAATGAGATGTGATGATTTGTTTGTGTATTTTTTTTCTTATTCAGATTTTTGTAAATTATTATATTTATATCTTTGCTGTTGATGAAAGTAAATTTGGAGTTTAACACAATACTTAACTCTCTTATGTATTTTACAAAACCATGTCTTTCTGTGATTATCATTAGAAAAAATGTTTTCATTACCATCCAAGTCTGCTGCTTGACAGCTGCTGTTGACAGTATTATGGAAGGTTTGGGAATCCTTGTGTATATACTGCTGCCTGATCACTATAGCGAGCGCCTATTCTCGCCTTTTTCTTCTGTTGACAGTATTAGACTGATATGATGCAGAACATTTCCTTGAGAAATTCATGATTTAATTTCTAGTATCAAGGCTGATACTGAACACCATCATCTATTTAAAAATTGTAAGTGAACATATAGGGAATTAAGTACTATAATTCCCTATATTATTATACGGTAGATTCTCGTATGCATATCTCTATGTCTTTCTTTTTATTTTGGTAAGAAAAAAAACCACATGCCACAAAATAGTAATTTGGAAATATCAAAGAGTTATGGAGTGTTCTATGAGCTACCAGGCTAGTGGTACCATTCATAAACAGGTAATAAAGCATTTCAAGCCAGAACTTTTAAACAAGAACTAGTTGTCCAAAAGGCACAAGGTTTGCTTCCTCGTGACTGAAGTCCAAGCTTCATTGTCCAGTGTTCACTCCTTTTTGCTGGTTGAAGGTTTACTTTTGGATTTAATTTTGGTTCCAGTTGATAAACTTGGTTCTTATTTTATTATTTGTTCTTAAATATGGGACTTATCTCATATTGGACCTACCTTAGCTCAATAATATTCTTAGCCTTTCTCCTTGAAGCATATATTAATTATGTGGGCTAACATATGCAACAGTGTTCTTGAAACCAAATCTAAGGCCAGAAGTTGTGTTTTTTTTCCTGAAACAATTCTCAATGCAAATGACTCAACCTTTGACTACCTCTCCTCTTCTAAAGAATGGACATAATGACATTCTGTGTTTGGGGGGTATTGAGAATAGTTCTAAGATATCTATGTAGAAATAGGTAGGTCTGTAACACTACATCATAGCAATAAACATAACCTTTAACTATTGAGAACAGTTGTTTCTCTATTGCTAAGGAGAATCTTAGCACATCTACCATAGCGTTATTTACTAACCTCAGAATTTTAGAGAATTAAATATAAATAGCAAACATGAGGCTAAAATAGTCAAGCTATGACAATAGCTGAGTTGATGAATATTTCAAAATCTGCTATTTTAGTCTCAATTTTGCCATTCAAATTAATTTTCTAACATAGTTAGCGAATAACCCTGCCTGTATTTCCTATATAAAATTACATGAGTAAATTTAATGTATGGTCTTCAGATCTCACGTCCAGGCTTTACTTAAGGATTATGTGAGGTATTTTTACAAAACCCTAGCCTGTTATAGGATCTATCAGAGGATTATATGGAGGGTGTGATACGGATATTTATCAAGAGGTTAAATAGGCTGTATATTTCCTTCTTTTCTTTAAAGAACCATTGTGTGCGTGTGTGTGTAAGTCTGAGTACACACACTCATATGTCAGATTAGGGTTTTTAAAATTTAACCCGTTTTGTAGTTTAAACCTTTGCCATCTATCTCAAACTGGCACTGAAGCTGTTAATCTTGTCCTAGCAACAATTCATAGGCATAACATATATTTAACCCCTTTGTGTCAAGTGAGGCAATGACACTGTCATGATATAGAGTTAATTACTTAACCCTTTGTCATTCTAAATAGCACATTTTGGAAGACAGCAAATTTGAGAAAAATATCTAACTGGTTGATTTCTCAAAAATATGTTAGAACAACAATGTTTTGTCATGTAAAGACATGCAGAAGATAAGCATAATAAGTAGCACAAGGTAAGGTTTAAGGTAATTGATGCTCTGTATGTATAATGAAGCATCTAATATTTAGCATTTAGCCAATGACTGTATCGATTTGTGTATTTTCTGATTAAGATAAATTGTAGCCCAACCACCCATGTCTATGTCAGATTAATCATTGATTTTCTATATTCCACAGAAGAAAAATTCAATATCAAGTTTGCTATGTAAAGGAAATGAAAAATGTGCAGCCATATATCTTTGACATTTTTAACCTTGCAACATTAGTTTAAAATTAAAACCGCTTTTGAGTTGACACAGAAGTTGCAAAATTTTGATCACAAACAGCCAAGTTGGAACATGTGTTCCAAATGTACTTGTGTGACCTAAATTTGTCACCTTACGATAACCTTACTGATCGACGAAGAAACCCATCAGTTGTGAAATATTAAAAGTAATTACTGAAACTCAAATTTCGGTTGCAAAATTGCTAGTAATTTTAAAGTTGTGTGCTTTCTCTGCTGTGCACAGAACTAGGTTCAAAAGTAATTCAATAATCAACATCCAAACAGTTTAGATTTTGTTTCTGTTGGGTGCATCATGAGAATTGGTCAAAAATAAACACACGCTTTTTGATCGATTCTCATGATGCACTTATAACATGCCCTTTGAGTACTCCAAGCTATTTTAAATGCAATCTCAGGCTTAGAGGCTCTATCTCCCTGGTAGAGATGCCACTTCCTCTCAGCCTTCGGAAGCATTAATGGAAGATTGTGAAGCCTGCATAGCATGTAGATAATGAGAAGATGTTATGGTGAAGGTTTAGTAAAGTCACCATGATGCGTTAGTTGCATTCTCTTGCACCTTTGAAGCATCATCAGGACTCAGAATACATCCCTTGTGGCCTGGCAATGTTCATCAGCTGTCATATCACTGTGATGGTCTGGTCTTCAGTTTTCAATAGGTTTGAACTGCAGCCGTGTTCCACAGGCATTTATACGAATTAGACAGGCTGGTTCACATTGAGAAAGTATGTGGAAAGAATACAAGTGTCTCCCAATGGGTTTGTCACTCTTTTGGAGTAACTGCAAGGCATGCTATTCAAAACAAAATAAAACCATGGAACAATTTTCTGTAGAATACATCTCTGTCAGTTACAGGTAAATCTAAACTGTGCAGTATGTGCAACATGATAGTTTAAGATAGGTAAGGAAGACTCCACAATAAACGTTCCCAACTCTGAAGAAAGACACTTTATTTAGCAGTGAAAGATCTTTATACTGAACCAATGGTCACTGTTGATTTTGTTAGTGGCATTTTTCTTAGTTATGGAGTTTGGGATTTAATATCACAGCAATCCTGTAGGCTGGCACAATGGAAGACAGAATAACTGACTTTAACCTAACTTGTTTTCTATCCCAACCTAACTTGTGTGTATCTCTACTTAGAGGGTCAAAAATAGTGCATTTTCAGCTCATGGAATAAGCATCTCAGAGCAGGAATGCTATGTAAATTCAAAGAAATAATAATCTTAAAGGTATTTGAATTCTAAAGAAAAGTTCAGTTTAAAGAAACTTAGTTGTGTTATAAAAGATTACACTTGTTACAAAATGTCTTTACGGAATTTCAATCAGACAGTAAATCCTTGATCTTTTAAAAATGGTTAGATATCTGAAAGAAACTTTAATCTTTCTAATAAATTGCACATTTTTGTAGTTTAGAATTTGTAGTTTAGACCTTCTTACAATAATTTATGGGAAATGGTTTTAAAAACAAAACACTTGGAATTTGATACCTACTTAAGTGTATTAGTTTGCAAATTATTCTCCTGATTCACTCATTAATGGAATTAGCAAACACAGGCTTTTTATTTACTGGTTTATCTAATCAAAGCATTTGAGTCATCTACTGGAGTGCCTGGGCGAGAACAAATACCTCCAACAAGGAAACTTCCTTAGCAAATAACCAACCAGATCATTGTTTCATCCCTTGATGTTGTGACCGCAAATAGTATTCATGGGTTTAAAAAGGGATTAGCCATTTTTCAGACATCAAGTCAATAAATGCCCATTAGCAAGCTCCGCAGAAATGCTACAGTAATGCTTACTAGCGAAAACAGCCTGTCTTGCACTGAGTGTGGTGATATATATGTGAGATAGAGGGCATTGTTTGTAAGGGAGATAAGGAGAAAATTGTGAACTGTTAATGGAATGTAGATCTTTTTGTTTTCACCGACTCCACACAGAGCTGTGAATTTTAACAGTAGGATAACATGTAACATAGAATAGCAATAGCATGGTAATCCATAGTTTGGTGATGCCAACAGTATACACAGAAGCTGAGTTTTTGAACAGAAGTAACCAGAGATTTTCTACAATGTGCAGCTATTATAATCTGGGCCGCTATAGGTAATACCAAATTTTGGTGGGAGAATATAATTTTTCCTGCTTTTCCAGTGGCGAGATTGTTGGATCTGAACATGCAGTGACACAAGTCTCTGTCAGGGTAAGTTTTTGGCTTGGAGCTCAAAGCTAAAGTCACGCATTACATAATATTACATTGTTACCTGATGTATGAACATCTCTGACTCCTGAAGATGTTTATGTTGGTGCAGTAGATGTGTGATTAGTAAAATCCTAACAAAGTCCCTTTTATTCACAATTCATTTGTCATGAATTGTGATAAAACTGGTTACTAGACTTGTGCATTCAGTTTCTAACATATTGAAGTTTATCTAAAGTTTGGCCAATCAGCTGTTTGTCAGAATTCTGTAACTATGAATCTCTATATGATTGGATTATGGAAAAAAATGAACCAGACAATGGACAAGTTTGGTAGATTCAAGATTTGGCGTTTCATCTGTTTCATCAAAAAAAGAGATTGTTGATGGTTAGGGTCAGCCCGTATATCAAATAAGCAAATGTTGACTGACTATGATCTGAATTTGAACAGTAAAATACCATTCTATTCAATCATAATTTGGTCAAAATTCAGTCAACCAACCAATTACTTTTCCAGACAAATTGCTTGGGCTGAACCATATTTTTTCAATTGTTCCAAGTCTGCATATTACTAAGGTGTGGTGAGTCTCAATGAAAAATTTGCTGTACCATGGGCTGTGAAATGAGATGAGTTTAGTATATAAGCAGCAGTCTATTTTTGTCCCCCTGTTAGCCATGGGATCCTGTGCCATGATTCCCTCTTCTTAATATACAGTTTTCAAGTTGGATTATCAGGAGAAATTGGCCTGATATTTTTTTGAGTCAGTTGGATAGGCAACTTGTTATTGATGTGGAATCAATAAATCAATTGATTATCTTGCGTATCTGCCCCCGGCCAAATTTAAAAAAAGATGTGTGCACGCTCCTGAAGTAATTCACACCAGACACAGGTTTCGGGTTAATGAAAAACTTGTGGAATGTTTATTCTGAGGGGACGGCATGCCCCTTATAAAGCAAAATTACATCATATGCATTGTCAGAGATAACATGGAATAATACATCAATAATTGGTTAGGTGTTAAGTGGTTAATTTAGTGCCCTTCCTACCGGGTGTGATGTCACTGATATCTTGGAGGTCTCCCCCAGATTCCAGCGCCATCTTGTTAATGAGAGTGTTAGTCGATGTCAAAGGGAAACTCCCTAGAGGCCATTTTAGGTAAATCACGTATAAGGTTGAATAATGCTGATTGTGGTTATGCTGAGTAAATAGGCATTTTATTAATATGAATTGGGTTAATATTTTTGTCCACAACAGTTATACTTATATAGCAAGTCAACAATATGTACCCCTACCCAAATAGGTTAGGAATATGGGCCCCCTGCACTGTCTCCACCAGCAATACCTCTGCACAAAAAGGAAGAAATGGTGTCATAGACTTTTTTTGTATATTTGCATGCTGACAGCTAAATTTTGTTTGCAGACTTTTTGGTTGTATGATTGTTAGTAACCAAAACAGTCAAATCTTTAGGGTGTAAATAAGAAGTATAATAACTCCACAAAATGGGAGATAATACCACCAAAATAAGTATGATATAGATGATCCCAGAAACATGAGAAAAAAGATAAAATGGACATAGAGTAGTAACTTCAGATATAGGTGTCCCCCGCTATGTATAATGTGCACTCACAAGAATCTGGATAATTTTAAGCCCATCATATGTCTATCAGCATTCGTGATCAGTCTGTGCCCAGTCAGATATGATTCTTTAGAGCATATAATAAAGCAGAAAAAAGAAATAGTGGGGGGCGTGGTCTGGACGCCGAGGTGCATGGTCGCATGAGCGCTGAGCTCCAGCCCTGACCGGGAGACTTAGGGGTAAAACGGCAACACACCAACGCAAATGGCGACAAAAAAGCAGCGCAGTACGATGGGGAACCCCCCCCGCGACCGACCAGCCATCAGCCAAATCATCCCTGAGGAGATTGTTCGGCAAACAAACAGACCCACACAAACGGGACAAAATGGCGCCCGCGGCACATGTGCGCGGCAGCCGCCCATCCAGCCCGACGGCCTCAGACGGATCTAATGAGGATCAAGACATCAGGGCATTACTACACCAACTACCCTCCAGGTCAGATATTGCAGCTATGTTCCAGAAACTGGAGGATAGCTTTGGGGAAAAATTACAGGCGGTCAGTGCAGAGGTACAGTACCTTGGAGCTAGGGTACAGGCCATGGAGGAGGAAATAGAAAATACTGACAAGCAATGGGCTGAATCATACACCACACAGGAGATACATGCTGCAGCAATAAGGCACCTACAGAGGCAACTGGAAGATGTAGACAACAGGGGACGCCGAAATAATTTGAGAGTGAGAGGCATACCAGAAGCCGCTGAAGGAAGCACTGAAAATCCCATTCAAATCCTCACCACGCTATTCAATCATATTTTGACCAGACCCCCTGATACAGCCATTGCCTTTGACAGGGCACACAGAGCTGCTAGGCCCAGGAACTTAGCTCCGGATAAACCAAGAGACTTTATCTGCCGGATCCACAACTTTCCCCTTAAAGAAGAAATATTTCATAAAGCCCGCCAAAATAAAAATCTATCAGTGAGTGGTCACACGGTGACGGTCTTTCAAGATATCTCACCTTCTACACTACTGGCGCAACGAGCCTTGAAACCCGTCACACAAGCCCTGATGGAGAAGAAAATTAGATTTCGCTGGGGCTTCCCGTTCGCATTGATTGTGAATCTTCCGGAGGGGTCTCATGTAATCACCACACCAGCGGAGGTCCCAGGATTCCAGAAAGCACTGAACCTGCCGACATCTGCCGTAGAGGACTGGACAGGACTTAACGGGATCACGACCAAGCAAATCCCACAAAAATCTAAATGGCAAAAGACGCCACGGAAGAGACGAAATCAAACCCAGCCTCACGCGGACAACACTGCACCATCCAGGGAAGAGCCTGACTGAGAAGCTCTACGGTCGTATGCCAAAATTATATAACTGTCTATATTGCCATATAATTGCAATAAGCTCACAAACTCTGATGTACTAACCCATAACTCACCATGCTGCCAACTTTAGTTATACTTTTTTTATGTTTTCTATACGCTATTTCATACTGTTATATTGTTTTACTGAAATTGCCATAACCAGGCCCAAAGCCTTAAATGTTATATGTTTGACCGTTTTGAATGACTATAGACGCTAAGGGCCCGGTCCACAGGGACTTACTTAACAACCTCACTAACCCCTGACCCACGAGTCCTTAGGACTAGAGGGACACGGAGACTATCAGTGTAGACCAGACAGTCCAGTGGAACCCCTGAGACCACCCCGGTCAGTCACCCGGACCACCACCCCAAGAGAGGCTCCCCGCAAACACTTGTGGACACGATGGCGTTACCCACAAGTGTAGCGCCAATCTCGTCGCACGATAGGTATTTGCCCTATCGTACCGCTGTATATAGTTTATATTTACCCCTGGTTCACCTTCCCCAAACCTATCCTGCCTATTTAGCTCACTTGACTCCCGTGCTAAACAACAAACGCTCTGACCCACCAGATAGGAGACTAGCCCATAAAACACTAAAATGACCCGGACTAAAATAATGTCCCTGAATGTGCGGGGACTGAATTCTCCTATGAAGCGCACTATGCTGGCGCAGGAGATAGATAGACAGGGGGCCGATATCATCTTACTGCAAGAGACACACCTTAGAGGTGACTTCCAACCGAAAATACGCACTAAAGGCGCCCACACAGCATACTACAGTAATAACACTCACAAGAAAACCAGAGGGGTGGCAATACTTATAGCGTCTGGTGCCGCCTTTGTGAAGTCAGATATTAAAACTGACCCCAAGGGCAGATATGTGTTCATCAAAGGAGTCTATAACGGTACACTAGTGACCATAGCGAATATCTATGCTCCTAATGCTGATCAAACCCCCTATATCCGCTCCTACTTGACCAAACTGGAGGGATTTGCCGAGGGAGTGGTGATAGCGGGAGGGGACTGGAATATAGTACTTGATCATTCAATTGACAGCTCCTCTAAGGCTACGGATACTAGACGCCACCAAAGACTCTTGCTCTCCAAGCTGCTCCACTCACACCAGCTAGTAGACTGCTGGCGCACACTACACCCACAGGACAAGGACTACACCTACTACTCTCAAACAGCTAACAGCTACTCCAGAATAGATATGGTTTTCATCAGTCATAGACATCTCCCCTTGCTGAATGAAGCATCCATAGGGAAAATCACATGGTCAGACCATGCCCCAGTGTTCCTGACACTCACCATCCAAAATGAACCTAAACCTGCCTCTCACTGGCAATTAAACGAATCCTTATTAGATGACCCCAGGGTCCTGGTAGACCTACGACAGACTTTGAACGATTATTTTACTGAAAACAGGAACAATGAGGTGTCGGACCCATGGGTCTGGGAGGCCCACAAAGGGGTCATCAGGGGCATCTTCATTAAGTGGGGATCTAGGATTAAAAAGGAACGATCACATAAAATTGATACCTTGACAGAGGCCATACAAGTAGCCGATACAAAACATAAACAAGACCCAACAAGCGACAACTTTCAGGCCCTGACTGCACTACGCATAGAACTTAGATCGTTACTGACTGTAAAGGCATATAGATCGGTACAATTGACGAGGACCACTTTTTACGCCCAAGGTAACAAGAGTGGGAAATTATTGGCCAAAGCTCTGAAAGCTAAACAACAGAGATCCTTCATTGACAAGATCTCAGATGGCACAGGGAAGGCCACCGATGACATAGCAAAGGCATTCAATGCTTTTTACTCAAATTTATACAACCTAGCCTCCCCTAGTGGCCAACTCCACAACCTAAGAGAATATGTCACTGCGCATCTCCCACGCACTATCCCAACCGCTGACTCGCACACACTAGACGAACCGTTCACACAGGAGGAGATACTAGCAACCATTAAGTCCCTACCGAAGGGGAAAAGCCCAGGCCCAGACGGGCTAACGGCAAGGTACTACCAAACATTAACACAGGAGCTAACTCCTCATTTTCTACACACATTGAATGGCCTCAGCCATAACACGGTACTTCCACCCCCCATGCTCTGCGCCTCGATAACTATTATCCCTAAACCAGGCAAAGACCCCACAAAATGCGGCAGCTATAGGCCCATATCTCTTATAAACCTAGATCTCAAATTGATGGCGAAAATGATAGCGAACAGGCTTAAACCGTTATTGCCGAATTTGATCCATCCAGACCAGGCCGGCTTTGTGCCAGGACGTGAAGCCCGGGACAATACCACAAAAATTATAAATGTTATCCATGGAGCTACTACCAATAGAACACCGACACTTTTAATGGCAATCGATGCTGAAAAAGCATTTGATAGAGTTGACTGGACCTACCTGTTCACAGTCCTGGAGGTCCTGGGAATCGGCCCAAGACTCCTGAACTGGATACAGACTCTATACAGAGGCCCCTCGGCCAGAGTCAGAGTAAACGTCCAACTGTCCACACCCTTCCTTATCTCCAATGGCACACGCCAGGGCTGACCTCTATCTCCCCTATTATTTGTCCTAGCCATGGAACCATTCCTAACAGCAATCCGATCTAATACAGACATACACGGATTTGGGTACCACGGAGGCGAAGTGAAGGTCTCTGCATTTGCGGACGACGTTCTGTTCACACTCACGGACCCAATAAAAACCCTACCTCACATACAGTCGGAGATCCAAACCTTCGGGTCACTATCAAATTTTAAGATTAATGCGGATAAGTGCGAGATCCTAGGAATCTCTGTACCCGCAGCACTGCAAAATACCCTTCAACGAACCCACACATTTCCCTGGACACGGTCAGGCCTGACATATCTGGGGGTACGACTCACTACTAATATCACGGAACTATACAACATCAACTACCCTCCCCTCATAGAGGTCATTAAAAATGATTTGCACAGATGGGATATACCCCATATCTCCCTAATGGGCAGGATCAGTGTCTTAAAAATGATGGTACTGCCAAAAATCCTATATATACTTCAGGCCTTGCCTATTCCACTCCCAGGGTCATTCTTTAAACGAATGAAGACTATTTTCGTTAAATATATTTGGGGAAACAAACCGGCAAGACTTGCCTTGACCACACTGACGTCCACCACGGACAGGGGGGGCCTGGGACTACCTCACATATATAAATATTACGTAGCAGTCTTACTTACCAGACTAAAAGAGTGGACAGACACAAGTAAGAAAAGATCGTGGTACGATCTAGAACAGAGCTTTGTACCGGTCCCTCTAACGACCCTCCCGTGGCAAACATGCCAACTCAAATACCTGACCCCGTCAAGACATCCACTCATTCACAACACGCTCACAATCTGGAGACGGCATAAAGATAAGTGGGGACTGTCCCCTGGAATCTCTAGATTTTTCCCCACGGCCTATAATCCTGACTTCCAGGGAGGACAGGGAGGGCCCTCACTTGCCCACCTCACGGGAACGCATTCACCGGACATTACTGAACTACTAACTGAGGATGACCCACCTCAATTTAAAGACGGACAAGTACCACAGAGACATGCCACCCTCCTGGACATTATGACCAGAGCACAGCTTAAGGGTTTCCTGACGAAACACGTCCTCCCCCTCTGGACCAAGAGAGGAGACACGCACTTTGAACTCCTTTGTGGCCCAACGGGCGACCGTAAACGGCCCCTATCTAAAATATACCGCATCCTCCAGTCGGTAGACAAAGAACCTACGACTCCCACATTCCAACAGAAATGGATGACAGACCTTCACATACATCTCTCGGACAAGGACTGGTCCAGTATTATGGAGACGGGTCTCAAAACCTCGATCAGTGTCACGCGCAAAGAGACCTTCTATAAACGGGTTACTAGATGGTATAGAACACCAGCCGTGTTGCACGCTATAATGCCCTTCACTTGACAATATCTGCTGGAGATGCTCAGCCAGTAGAGGGGATATGTTACACATCTGGTGGAGCTGCCGGGACATTCAGCGTTTCTGGCAACCCATACTCTCTGAGATTACAAAGATACTAGCACCAGCCACCCGCCTAGAGGCACCCCAAGTACTGCTTGGCTGGCCACGTACATTTAAGGAATCGCACAGGCAACACTTACTGCACATTTTGCTAGGGGAGGCAAACGCCCTGATCCCACTGTACTGGCGTAAACCTAGCATTCCGACCATGGAGCAATGGGTACAAAAGGTAGAGGGAGTGAGGGAGATAGAGGACATCCACTGGTCGTTAATGGGGAAACGTAATAGACACCTCAAGACTTGGGAACCCTGGACAGAGTTTTGGACTAATACCAGGACATAACCGCCCAAGAGGCAGACCCGGGCAAGACAGAACCCTTAGCTGTCAGATAAGAAGAGCGAGCCATGTAACGGCAAATAAGTCAATCACGGGAAGAGCTTAAAAGAAACTACATAACATCTACCCCGACCTAGGCAGGGTCAATAAAACCCCCCCCTTCCCCCTCCCCCACCCCATTGTTTGTTGTTTGTTGATTTCATGGTTACTCACACATACCACCATTCCCGAGACGGTAGGGGGACAACCTCTTACTATCCGACCTTCATTAAAGGGAAAATGTACACCCTGTGGTATGACCTTGATGCAACCCCGGTAAAGTTTTACGCCGGGATGTTTATGTCTATGTATGTGATGTGAAATGTACCATAGATGCACTGTTCATGTAACCCTGAAATGTGATCATTGAACACTCCCCTTCTTTTCTGTACCCCATTTCCTTGTACACGAGAAATAAAAACATTTAAATTAAAAAAAAAAAAAAAAGATTTGCCAACCATAAATAAAGGGGTTAAGCAGAAAAAAAAAAAAGAAATAGTGCAGAATTTTATTTAGTTTGCACTTACAAAATTGCAGTAAAAATAGGCATGTCTCCGAATGTATATCAGATCTTAATAGTGTCGATGGAACTGGTAGCCAGCCGTGTGTGCCCAATAAAAAGTCCCAAATAGAACCAAAATAAAAACCAGTTCTTAGGCATTATTAAACTAAGCAACGTTTTTCGTTGTGTCCGACTTCTTCAGGGATCTGTACCTAGGCAGTATCCAACGCGTTTCGTCATGTCTGACTTCTTCAGGGATGTGTATCCCAGGCAGTATCCAACGCGTTTCATCGTGTCTGACTTCTTCAGGTTTTTATTTTGGTTCTGTTATCCCCTGCTTAAATAACCAAACTAATTCTTAGTAAATAGGAATATTCCTATATTATTACTAGGAGTAATGCTATTTTCAAATACCTTACTGTAGCCAAGCCAAATATTTTATGATGTTTTCAATCAATGTTTTGGCAACTAGACTTGTGCAGTCAGTATCATCTGAATTAATTTCAGCTGAATTTGGATTGATCGGCTGTTGGGTTAAATTCCATATCTCTGAAGTGCCATATGGATGTATAACCAATCAAATAACTAGTGTCATAGCCAAATATTTGTTTTTTGAGTTCGCCCTGTTGGTTACTTTTTATCACTTGATCTCTGAACTAAATATTGGAAAATGTGTGCTGCAAAATATATGGATAATATATTTATTGAAGTACATTGATTGTCTCATCTTTGTACCCTTTTTGTTTGTCCAAATGATTTCCCAAATAGTTTTCCATAGACAAAATTTGCCGAAGCTGAACATCAGAGATCACATGAAAGAGCATTGGACATCTCAAATAAACCTTTAATTTCAGGAAAAATTATTAGACTGAGCAGAACTTTCTCCCTGTACACAAGTCTATTGCCAACTTACATAACTTGACTTACCAAGAGACTATAGCAACAAAGAGAAAAGATACTACAAGTGCTCAGTGCATAAACACCCCTGAGGCTTGCTGCATCGCCTGGAAATCAAAATATAGCTATGTAGTCCTATAGATAAACTGGCTAATAATATAAAGACTACTAGAAATCAGATATAGCTAATATTTCATGCATACATAATATATAGTCCTATAAAAGTAAAACTGATACTCCCATGTCACCCAAAGTACAGAGCCCCATAAATAGATACCTAAAGTACATAGATACTGGACAAACAGCCCTATCTCTATAACCACTTTATTAGAAAAAATACTGAGTAGGGATGAGTCCAGTAAGGAAATAAAAAATGAAAGATATCTATAACAGGACTGTCTCAAGGTACACATTCCTAATACCTGACTACCATTAGTAGGCTGAGTATTGTAATAAATTGTATAAGTTCCAAAAAGACCCCCTATCTAAAGCAGGGGCAGTATATATCAAAAATACAAAACTCCTCCAATTACATACAGGACAGGGTTCAGTATAGAGCACAGAGAGAGAGGGAAAATAATAATTCAAATGTTCAGTTTCTAAGAAACTGACAATATATAATTAGAAAAGCCTCTCTCCCTGGTAAGCTAACTAGATAGACACGGGAGCAGAAGTAAATTAGGTGAAAAATATAATAAACCAAAAAAAGTCCCATAAAATTAGTGCCAAACATGGTGCTATAAACACCAGTGCCCAGTGCTCATAAAAGATGAGAAAAACGCTCTTACCAAGAGACTAGACTTACTTACCAATTTTCAGATATTTTTAACTTACAGATATTTACCCAAAATTGCAGTTTCTCCCAACAATATACAAGCTGCAGGCAAAGTTAATACAATAGAACTTTAATGGATGTACCCTTATATTTTAAGGCACATGCTACTCAATGCTATTAATTATTCAGTTGTATCTATAAACACAGTTGAAGGTTCACAAAATACATTACTTATTCTAACTTAACTTTTTCTATAAAGTCAAGTGTCATGGCCAGTTACCAATAACAACTAAAATTCATGGAAGATCCTGTCTTGTGTTGCAAGTGTTAATGACACAATTCATTCTTCCCCTGAATTAATGTAAAGACTGTTATATGAGCATCACCAACATCTGCGCCCCTGGCTCATTGTCAAAAACAAAACTGTCAGTCGCAACACTTCATGTTTTGGCAGGGAAAAAAATAGCAAGACTTAAAAAAAAAGAAGAAATTACATTAGGTCACATTTTCGTTTATTTAAATACAATTTTCAGCATTTTTTAAATAAAATATGTTATTTGTTAAATGTGTCACAGATACATGGACACACACGGCTGGAGTAAAAGTTCCTTTTAGCACATTGTATCATATATATAGAATATTCAACACATGTATGCAACATTAAAAAAAATATATTAATGAAAAAAGTTTCTGCAGTTAACTCCCACCAAATCAGGAATTAACTCATTCTATTTTTTTAATGGTGCACCTATGGAGCACAACTAATTACTATTTAACAATGAACCTGAATAATATGTCTATGTGCTGGCTTTCCATCCCATGGTTTAAATAAAAAAAAAATGCTATGCTTTAAAAAATAAAAAGTTATGCTTTAAAAAAAAAAAAAATCAATGCTATTTTGTAGTTAAATGGGCACTGGAAGAAGTATATCTGCTTCATCGCATTGATGGTTATAGAGTCTGAAGTCACCTGGTGCTCTTCTTCCGTTCAAAATTTTAATTTGTTTAATATTTAATGCTAAATGAAAGTCCCCAGCAGCCCATCCCTTCTGTACTGTTCAGATCAATGAGAAAGCATTAGCCTGAGCAGCAATGAGCAGCTGAGATTGGCTGAGATTGTGACCATTTTAAGCCTATCATTGCACCCATTGCAGGTACGAATTGTTATGGCTTGAAGTAAGAGTGTAATCTCTGCCTTAGCCATAGCTCTGGGTTGGGCTGTGTGTGGCCAGATTCCCTTATTTCAGTGATAAACCACTTAAAATAGTTTAATACTGAATGGAGGGGTACTAACGGAGGACTCCACAGACTCTAAGCAATTCAATGAGATGAGATGGTTATAACGGCTAAAGTGTCCGTTTAGTGGTCTTAGGACTCATAACAAGCTATGCCTTCATGGTAACAGAGTCCATAACATATAACATAAGGGGGAGGGGGTGGTTCGAAATATAGTATCGTAAAGTAATAATGAAGATAAGAACTTAATAAGAATAAAATGAAGATTTAGTGAATTTCACTAACAGAAGCTGGAAAATGAATTAACCACCTGAAACTTGTAGCATTTCCCTCGGGCATGTGAAGGGTTACCTTGTTATGTCAGTAAAATTATTTTAAGTCCATGCAAGTAAAATGGGTGAGTTGTTCATCAGGAGAACCAAGGTTTTAAGTGTATGTCGTCCATAAAAATGTTCACAACTCCCTAAACCATGTCTAATCGAGGATGTCAAGATGTCTAAATTTTTACAACTACTGTCTATATGAGGACCACAAGCTGATAGAATTTGACAAGAGAGACACAACTGCACTTCTTTTAAACCAAAGGAAAATATTTGAGTTGTAACTTGATCTCAGTTACAAACTGTGAACTACTCTCTACAAAGTAACAACTTCAAATCAAAGCTCTGCTATCACAATGGATCAGAGCACATTTTTACACCTCTATCTGCGGAATTATTTTAAATGCATCCCTATGTTTTCCTTTGTTCATTTGTTTTAATTGCTGTTTGCACTTGTTTTATTTTCCTTTGTTTCTATTTTTCCAGTTTAAAATGTTTAAAATTGCCTAAAGATCAGATATTTTAATTTTGGAATAATTAGAAAATTTGGATGAAATCATTAAATGGAATATGTGTTCAGAGGCATTCAGCAACTTTCACTAATTTTACCAGCCTTTAAATTTAGCAGATTTCAGTCCAAATTGATCTACATCAGATTTGCAATGGACCCCCTCTGCTCTTATCCTAATGGACTCCTTACAACTTTCAGGAAAGATGCTTAGCGTACTGTGTTCATACCATTCTGAGCCTGGCATTACATTCTCACAGAAAACTCTTTGTAGGTTCAGGAAGCGGGTTTGCACAACACTGTACAAGTTCTTAGTGAAGTGAAAAAATGAGTTATATGGTGCACTGGAGGTTATTTAATAAAAGAGTAATTTTTACTGATTCCAATTATTTATTACCATTTTTTCCTCTGTCATTTTATTTTTTTCTTCACAAATTTATTGATGCCAGTGCATACTAAAAGTTGTGCAAAAGTCCCTTACTCCATAATCTCCCTAATGAGACATTACGACCCTGGCAACGTTTCTGCCACTATAAAACTGGCAGATTTTCCATGACATGTCAGGAGTTCTTCCTTTTTTATTAATGTATAGAAAAATCTTTGAGGTTGTAATTGTGCATTTTATTCCCTTAAAAAATTACTCATATGTCTTGATTTGTGAACATAAGCAATGGTAAAATTTTCAGAAAAAAAAGAGAAAAAGATTAAAGATAAAGATCAATAAAAAGTGAAGACAGCCTATTTGGTGAATTATGAAAATAACTAGTGTT